TTCAGACGTGTGCTCTTCCGATCTCCCCAAAACCCCAAAACCCCAAAACCCCGTTGAAAATTATCACTAAAAATAAAGTTGATGGAAATTTTAAATTCATAATTTAAAGTTAATTCCTTAAAGTAATAGTAATATGTCGTCTCCATACAAACCTAAGACAGCAGTTTCTGGTTCCAGATCTTAAGTGAGAAAGCCAGCAACCTTCGTAAGCATTCAATGCTATTTAGCCTTGCTTTAATTTTATTTAGAAACCTCCCTCTACTAGTCATAGTATTTTAATGAAAAAATATAAGTAAGAAATACCTCAAAGATTGAGAATAGCAGTTTTAATTTAAATATTAAAGGGATGACGGAAAGACTCAGTAAGCTTATGTAGAGTAGAGTACCTTGCTTGAGCCTAATAATTTTATTCCAAGCTGGGTAAGTTCTTACAATATTTAGGACTTAATCAAAATATATTCTACAGGAAGCTGGTGATGAGGAAAAGAAAGAGGTTAGCACTACTTTAAGAAAACTGAGAATCAAATACGACAATATGAGCAAATTAGTAAGGGAAAGAGAGAGAGAACTGGAAGAGCTGAAGGTAAAATTGAACATATAGTAGCAATTTAATCTAATAGAAACGACTAGAATAAAAAGGAGATGAGGAATACAAGCAAGAGGACACATTATACAGAAAAACTACCTGCATGAAGAGTAATGACGATGAACTTACAATGATCAAGGAAGAGCACGATTTTGAATTGATGTTTTAGCGATCATACGCTCATATGATAGATAGAATGAAAAAGGACCTTGTTGCTATAAAGATTTCAGCTAATGAAATGACAGACTCTTATAGATAAAAAGAAGGTATTATGAATGAGGAAAGCGAAAAGTCTCGCAGGACTAAGGAAATGAGAATGCAAGCTAAAGTTAAGTTAGAAAACCTTATGAAACAAATTGATTTAGAATAAAAAAAGCGTTAGGAGAGGATCCAATCGCTTTAAAAATCTATTAGAAACAAAGAAGAGGCATTGCAAAGAAGAATGGAGAGAGTAAGAAGATAATAAGAGATTGCAGAATCAGCTGCCAATGAAAATAAAGACTCAAATGAACTGAAAATGCAAGAAAACTTTATGGTCTAAAGACTTTGGAGTGCATTCCTAAAGAGGAAAATGGAAAAAGAAATGAAGAGGACTTATGAAATTGAAGATGCCTTCTAGAAAATCAGAGCGGCCACTGGGTTTTCAGATGTTCAAGAAATCGTTCATAAATTTTTAACAAGAGAAAACACTTATTCATAACTCTTGATGGCAGTAAGTGATAATGAGAGAAAGATTGATAATCTCAGAAAGGAAAATGATAAATGGAGAGAAAAGCTTCATGATCTACAGATCTAAGCTGACGGTGAGGAGAAAAAGGCCAAGCTTAATCCTTAGATTAGTGCTATCGATGATAGAAAACATAAGTTGTTGAAACTTAAGGAAAAGACTGAGGAGATCACTAAAAAGGTTTCAATGACTAATGATCAAGTTCTCAGCTGGACTGCAAGAATCGTGCAGAAAATTGACTAGCAATTCAATGAAAACATTCACTCCTTTGAAAACAATAAGACTCTTGCCTTCATTTTTGAAAAGATAGGTTAAGCTGTAGTCAAATAATTAGAGTAGATCATCATGGAAGAAGATGAAGAGGATAGAGGATATATAACCGCAAAAGATTTCATGAATGACTTTGCAACTGAAGAGTTTTTAACTAAAAACATCAGAGTAAGACCAGTCAGCGGAGTGACTAGAGGAGGTGGAGATGAGGAGACAAAGACTAATGATTTCAGTCACTATCCAGTCAAGAGTATGCTTATGACAGGAGAAAATGGAGAGGATGAAGAAAAATTCAATAAGATGATCAACATTGATATGGAGGAACAAAGAAAGAATATCAAATCTAGAGTAAGTATCATTCAATTTAAATCTCAATTTATTATAGAGAGAAGATTTTGTTAGAAAGAAGCAAATTGAAGAAGAAAAAAAGCTCAAAAAGAAGAATTGAAATCAGAAACAAGATTCATATTGAGAGATCAATTAGTTTATACTCTTAAGAAAGAATAAATTTTATTTCCACATAAATAATTATAGGCAAGTCATTTTATGTTGCTCCTAGGGGTTTTGGGGTTTTGGGGTTTTGGGG